TATATTATTTCCCTCACATTTTCTCCCTAAGGGAAATGTGTAGCAAATGTGGTATTCACCATCTTCACAACCTGTAGCAAATATAAAGTGAACATCGTATTTGCACTGTCGCAAATATGGGCAAATACAAGCAAATATGGTATTTGCTTAATATTTACATCATATTAATCCTATTGTGAATCCGATATTTCATGCAGTGTAACCAAGCTAATAAAGCTACTTGGTCGTCGCGTTTTGCCGCTGCTGTTTCGTAGGCCTAGCTTTGTTTGTTCAACCGCACAGTTATCTGAAAACAATATGTCATACACCCTTGTTGCTATGCGAATCACGCTAGCATAGCGTTTCAAAGAAATGCTTCTAAATCAAGTCCCTACCAAAATATTAATATTGCCTTCAATGCTTTGAGCATGACAAAAATATAAATGTTTAGAGAAAAAGTACAACACTTAAGGCCAGATACAGAAGCTATGGAAGTATGAAAGAATGAATGCGTAATATCGTTCGAGTGATAATTTTTTTGATTCGTTTTTGTTCACCTAGCGCTAATGAGCTGGTGCCAGTCGCTTGTCAATTTTATTTAAACGTTTATGTTAAAATAGCGATAGTAAGAAGGCAGGCGATTTGTACTGATATGAATGAGCAATAATGTCACGCAATTGTGCACGCTATCAACATCCTCTGTGATCACTTAATTGATACCTATAAAAGAGGACACCCTTTGCACAAACGTCGTTATATGCAGCAATGGCAGCGTTTGAAGATATTTTTTTCAAAAATGTTCAAGAAAGAAAGAGGAAGAGGGAAAGCGTATGTGGGGCGATCGAACAATTACGTTCTCTTGAACTGGGTAGTTTGAAAAGAAATTTCACCAAGAACGACTTAAGAGTTATTATTCAAGCCAAGATCGGAGACCGTGACATTTTGGCTAACGCTATAAGAAAAATACCTACGACGTTTAATTCTTCTGACAGAAAATTTCTTCTTAAAGAAAACTTGCAACTTGATGGTATTGTGTCTGAGAACGACATGGAACTTTTTTCAGACCTATCGACATATGCGTGCCCATTAGTTAATGCAATACCAGAAGACGAGTTAAAAGTGTTGCTTCCTCCTGTTGGTGAATATTTGAGCTGTGGTAAGACTCTCACGAGCCACAATAAGCCATGTAAGGTGACTGTATTTTTACCCACATATGCTGTTTCGACTCTGAAACAGTGTTTACGTTGCACAAATTGTGATGTAAACTATGGTTATGCAATGTACGGTAACAAAGCATCAGGATTYCGATTTTATAAAGAGCCCAGACCGTATGTAGAAGCCACAGACGAGGCTTTTATTGACAGATTCCTCTGTAACTTCCAGGTATCTCTAGCAGAAGTATAACCTACTGTAAAAGTAGACTAGAGGGTATTTTCTAGCTATTAATATGGACGCTACGTATAATTTATTTCTTTTGATTTGCTTGCAGAAACCATGCATGGACTTCTGTTGTTGGATTTACGGAAAGCTACAACGAACTTGTTTCACGCATTCATCACCCTCGATTGCCAAGTCATTTCTCCACCAAGGATGATTGTGAGTACTACAAATATATAGGTGTGCATGTAAGCCCAAAACGTATCAACAAAAAAAATCAACCAGTCCTGTTACCCAATTTTTTTTCTTTTCTTTTCTTTTTTAAAGGCCATCGTCTGTATAGACGGATTGTCTCTAGCGCATTCTTTAAGAATGAAATGGAAGCCGAAATGAGGGGAAGAAAAATTGGTTGGATTTTTAAAGAAGGTTCCGAAAAGTCAAAGGAAGATTTCCTTTCTTATGTAAAAAATTGTAGAAGAGAGAGGTGTGATTATTGCATGTCTATATGTTTAACGTCTTCTGGATAGGACCGACTTCATCATTAACTTCTTTCAGAATCCTTCATACGTTTTTTTTTTTTTTTTTTTCGTTCATTTGTACCTGTTGGTTTATTCTAAAGGGAAAACAATAGTGGTAGTAGTGATAAAATGCCCTATTTGTACATGTATTGTGTGCTTGATTCATAAATACTCTTTATTGTTATCCATGGACAATGTAATATCATCAAAGAATTAGAGAATAAAATTATTTATTATGGTTATTGTTTTTTTGATAAGATATAAGGCATTTGGTAATTAAATTGCAGGGTGTGAGAACTTTGTATCCCTTGATGGCATATGGAAGTTACGTCATCCCCACTGCATGTATCCAGTAAAGACAACTGTAAATGGTTTGCCTCTTGTAAACTACCCCGATGTGTTTGTAAATGAACCGGCTAGTCAGAAATCTGCTTTCTGTGAAGAACATTGCAAGGTGGCAATCAGTAAAAATATTCCAACTGGGCTTAGGGAATTTATGAATGATTACTGCAAAGTTCCCAAATCAAATAGAAACGATATTGCTGGTAAAGAATGATTTTATATAACGTTCTGCGACTATACAGTTACACTGAAACAGCACTACTAGTACTATCCATCGAAACCCGGTATAATATTTTGTTTATTTTTGTGATTCAGATTATGCGTCAGAGATAAATGCTGCTCATGCAGAAACAGTTAACACAGCAGCTGCAGGCTCAAGCGGTGGTGACAATGTAACCTCTTCTGTTGATGAGGCACAAGGTATTACATTTCAGGGTTCACTCTTGCATTCGCTCATTCATACTGCATCCTGAAGTCCTGTTTAATATCATCCTGTTAGATTCATTTCTTGTATCATTTCCATTATATAAATCCCACAGGAACATATGAGTTTCTACAAATGCATCATTGCCTTCTTGTTGAATGCGTCAATGATACACCATCCGCAATAAATTATAACAAGGGCACTGGCGAATCGTCAAAAACTTTAAGAAAATGGTCCAGTCGTTTACTCCATTTTGTTCATGGTGTAGGGCATATCGATATGTTAGTTATTTGATTCAAATGTGTCAATATATCTACTTAAATTATCTTTATGCACTAAGTTTCATTTAAGACATTATTTGGGCCCCCAGTAATTGGCTTAACGCTGTTGCGGTCACCCTGTCATACATACCACAGTATTTTTTCCAGTTATATTTCCAGTTTAATATATGGCGAAACTAATAAATAAATAGATATTTGGAACCTGGTCTATATGTAAGTAATGTAACTGAACATAAACAAATTGAAGCTGTGATCGATGCCGTAGCACGCAAGCAGCTGAGATGACATATATTATATAGTACTGGAACTGAAACGTAAAGACTTGCATACCATAACACACCGTTTACAGTGAAAGCATTATATCTCGTTCTTTTTTTTTTTTTTTTTCTTTTTTTTTTCGTTTTAGCTCTGAAGGACTTAAAAAAGTACCCGAATTTCAATGGGAAGATGTAAATGTTTCAAATGACAATATGTGTAACCTAACTAAGATGCGAGTAGCAAAAATACCCCTGCCTTTAGATGCACCCTACAACAATATGTGGCTAAAGGTTAGGAAGGTAATTGACAGGCTTCATTTAAGAAATCATAAAGACCCAACACGTAGGAAGAATTATTCCTGTGATGACCTTAAAGAAGTATATCCGCGTTTGAATACACCAGTTGCGGAACAAGTATTTACGTGGGCTTCTAGATTTTAAAAAAAATCATGCGCAATGCCCAAAAAGAGTTTTCTATTCTATTACCACAGAATGGTAGAGAGGAGAAATAGATATACTTCAAAATGTTACAAAAATGAAAGGTTTGTAAATTTCCCCAAGATTCATTAATCATATAATTAAGTTTTGATTGAAGTTCTTTTAAAATTCCTCTATCACTTTTATAATTACGTGTATTTATATGTTATATATTTTAAATAATTGTAAAGCGTATAAGAAATATCTTTTAACAATTAAATTGAAATTGTATTCTTGTCGCGATGTATTGTTAAGTTTATTTAATTTATTGTATGTCAAAACGATTCTGATTAATTGTTCTTTGCTTGACATACGCTTTCCATGTGGGTTGTTATTGTCAAGCACCCTCATAGCAAGAATGACCGTAAGACCTTACAGAGAAACCTTACACCCAAATGGAGATCCTAAACCGGGACCCATTTGGATGTTGACACTTGAACCATGAACACCATCATTCCTTGTTACATAAATCACCCGTGGGCAGGGAAACCCCATACCAAAAAGAATAGTTATGCTTGTCAAACATCTTAAAAAGGACACAAGTTCATAGCTGGTGAGCAAGGTAGTAATGAAATTTTACATGAGCATGAAATGAAATTAAGGCAAAATAAAACCGAGTCATAGCGGACAGCGGCTACCCACCCTAAAAAATACTTTGGGGCTGGGGAAAGGGGCGCCTTTTTGTTAAGGACTAGTGGTAGCTTTGCAAGCAGTCTCAAGGGTGGATCCAGGGTAGTTTACGTAATTTCCGTAAACTACTCAATTTTTTTCAAAGCTACACATTTCTTTCTAAACAATGACAAAATATGTGTATTACATTATTCTAGAAACTACTAGAAACAACTCACTTGGTTGTTTTTCAGTTAATTGTTAAAGAAAATTCAAACAAAAATGAGTAATCTCGTCATTTCTGCCGATTTCTTACCGATTCCCGCAAAAAAGTTCGGGTTTCGGATATCTCCGTCGGTACGCATCGGAATGCTATCGGMAAACGATCGGAAAACAGCCTTTGTCAAATAGGGAGTGAACGTGCGCAGTTGTAGAGCTAGGCCGGTGTGATGATCGTAAACTACTCAAAGACTTCTCTGATTGCCTGGAAACACATTGATTGTTTTGGAAACCACTCAAACCCTTTTTTGATTGGCTATCTACTGTGCAAACTACCTCATAAACTACCAGCAAAACTATAAAAAGCTAGGCCTACCCCAGTTGGGTTTCTTTCTTTCTTATGATTAGAGTCATAGACTTGCTGTAGTTTGAACGAAGGAATATTCTACAATGCGAGGCGACCCGATTTGCAGGAGGGAGGACTGTTCTCCTTTCGACATTGGCTTGTACTTTAAAGAAATTGGCTCTTCATCACCACAAGATAAGCTGGGGTTCATTGAGAATGTGTGGAAACCAGGTGCGATTTTTGATTTCACACTGTCAATAGAAAATAGAAAGCCTCGTAAGTTTGTCTTTGAATGGCTTAGAAGATATCCCTTGCTTGCATACTATAAATATCTCGATGGAGCATTTTGTTTTCCCTGTGTTTTGTTTGGAGTTGAATCTGGTAGAAATGCTCATAAATTAGACAAGTTGCTGAAGTCCCCACTCACATGTTGGACTTCAGCGGCTTCCAGACTTACAAAACACGCCAGCGGTAAATGTGAGATGCACAATTTTGCTGTATTTGCCTTGGATAACTTTTTGAAAACAATGAGGCAGCAAGGGGCCCCAGTAGATCAGCAGTTGAATAATATTATTCAACAGCAAATCGATAGAAATAGGACGGTSCTTAAGTCTTTGTTTGAAACGATAATTTTCTGTGGGCGAAACAACATAGCTCTCCGGGGTCAACGCGATGATGACCCAACAAATGCTAGTCTATCAGGAAACTTTCAGGCTCTGCTAGAATTTCGAGTGCAGAGTGGTGACCAAATACTGCAGAATCACCTGGAAACTGCACCCAGAAATGCAACTTACATTTTTAAAACCATCAAGAATCAGATGATAGAAACAGTAGGTTCTTACATTTTAACTAGTTTGTCAAAGGAAATCAGAGACATTAAGTTTTTCTCTGTTATGACAGATGAAGCCGCAGACATTTCTAACAAAGAAAATCTTTCTTTAGTGATAAGATTTCTTGATTCAAGAAATATAATTAGAGAAGAATTTATTGGRCAGCAGTGCAGCAGTAGCAGAATTACTACTAAAACCAGACGTCCTTTGAACTGTGAATAAAATTAGCCGACGTCACGCTCCCACGCTTCAGGCACGTCGCTGGCATAAGAGTGATCACGTGATGTACAAACCTTATCTTCACGGATCTTGGCGCGCGGATCTTTCAGTGATAGTTTGGGTAGTCTAACGATCATGGCGGTTGTCCAGGTGAAACTATTTTACGGCGAGAATTTCGAGCGTTGCAAAACAGTAAAATTTGAGAAAAAATGTCTTGAATTCACAACGTTTCAAGAATTTGGCTACAGCCTTATAAATAATGTTGGAACATATCTAGAAGATTCAGTATAAAGATGACGAAGGAACTTTCGTTAGTATGATCAGTGATGAAGACTTGACAGATGCCTTGTCCCGTCCCTAACAATGAAGATTTGTGGAGGCTTTCAATAAGAGTGAGTTCATCCTGTACACCGACAGTATTGATGAAGAATGCTTGTATGACTCCACGCACTAGTAGCGCATGCAGTGGGACAGCGCGCCGTTCTCTTTTTGAAACGGTATCAAAGGATTCTCACTACAAATCTCCTCTAGACGTATACCTGGAAGAAAAGAAGAAAGCTGTAGAAAGTCAGAAAGAAAAAGTTAAAAACTTAGTGAATTGGTGAATGCTAAAGCCTGGTTCACACGAGCAACGCAAACGCAAGCGCAAACGCAAGCAATGTTTACACGTACAACGCAAATGCAAGTAAATTAAGATACGCATGCGCAGTAGTGATTATTTATAGTTCACACGTATTTTCCTTGCGTTTGCGTTTGCGTTTGCGTTGCTCGTGTGAACCACGTCTTGCGTTTGTGCTTGCGTTTGCGTTTTCTCCGGTTCACACGTTAAAAACGCAAACGCAAACGCAAACGCAAGCACAAGAAAATGGAAAATTTTCCATTCCTTGCGTTTGCGTTTGCGTTACTGTAGTTCACACGTAGTTTTCTTGCGTTTGCGTTTGCGTTTGCGCTTGCGTTGCTCGTGTGAACCAGGCTTAAGGAAGCAAGCTATGGAACAGATTCGCGCACAAGAAACAAGGGCCCGGTTTGTGGAAATTGMCACATGGAAGGACACAATAGACTTAACTGTGAGTTTGGACAGTGTTTCTCAGTAAGGTTTTGCAATCTGTTGCACAAATATCCCGAAGAAAAAAGATCTCACTAGTCTGAAAAAGAAACTTAAGGAAGAGGAATTAACCCTTGCAAACTTAGTGGAAGAGAGAGAAGCAAAAGCTGCTGCAGCAAAGTCAATTGAAGGACGGTTTTCCTACAGAGTGCGGGGTGAGCTAATTAAAACCTGTCCTGAGAAATATCTATTCACGACACATACCGGACAACAGATCGAAAACTGGAAGGCAATCAATCGTGACTCCAAAATATTGGAAAAACACGACAAAGGAAAAATTCCAGATGCAAAGGAAATAGAAACTCTGTCTCGCGAAAATGCCGAAGACGAGCCAGCGAAACAAAGGCAAACCAAAGTTACAACGGTGAGAAACCCGTACAAGCGGTTGTGGGAGGAGAGAGGAGTACAATGGCCTTCAAAGCCGTCCTGTACTATTACGAGTCCGTCTGCGAATATATCCCATTCCTATCAAGTAGCTGAGCAGTCAGCCGCGGGATCAATGGCTTCAGCATGTACTAGTCAATTAAGTTGCGAACATGATGACTACTTTTGAATTTAGCCATCAAGCAGAGCTTAAATGACTGCCCAGCAAACATCGAACATGTTGAAACAACAACACAGTTATTCTAAAGTATCAGGAAGTGGAGGACTGTCATTATTAGCCGATGCAATTGACTTTCTCGACTAAGATAAGATTTAGTAAACTATAACGATAAACTCTGGTGTAATATTCACAATATTTTTACAAGTCGGAAATCTTTCCATAAGTTGAGTTCAAATTCATCGTTTATACAAGACTAAGGTTGTGTGGTCATCATTCGTATTGATTGAAATTCTCTTACTAAACATTTTCCAGGCCGCTTTGTATCAAATATATTTTTGCTTTTGTTGAGGTACTGTAATAAAAATCATTTGAAAAATTCCTTCGAGTGCTGTTTACATCTACCTTCAGCAAAAATCCCATTCCAACACGTCACCGCAGACTATCCAGCGCCCGTCGGCTTGATTGTGTATAGTGTCTAGGATTTTCCAGGACCCAAAGTAAGACTCATTCCAATACAAATGTAATTTGGTAAAACTGATACTTTTATTTCATATTTGGTCTGCAACGTTTTGCTGTACTGAAAGGTTAGATGAAACTTTGGGTCATACTGTGAGTAAAATGCAATGACTACTGATTGTGGCCAGTCACTCATTAAATCTAAAATTTCACAGACTGTCATAACAACTATGAAATGTACAATATAGCCTGCGAAGTGGCCTAAGGGCATGGGGGTCTGGGGCCTTGGGGAGGGAAAACTAGGATGCTAAATATATGTACTATCAAGCTATTCTGAGAACACAACATGCAGTTCAGTACAATTCATTCATCTTTCTTTCAAACATAAATGTATCCAGTGTTGCGGTAAAATGCTCTCATATCCGATTCTGTTATGCCATCGATACACTCGTAGATTCCAACATGAATGTTTCGATGGAAGGTGCAACGATTCTCTTCGCGCTTAGCAGCTTTCTTCATCTTGTTAAATGCTAGTTCAACAGGATTAAATTCTGGACTATAAGTAGGCAAATAAACGATCTTAATGCCATGCTGGTCCATCCGGTGCCCTAAAGCATATCCTCCTGCGTTATGATGAGTAGCATGGTTATCTAGGAGTATGTGATCACCATATCGCAGTACAGGTTCGCCATTCTCAAGAAAACTGTTTGACGCTTCACCAAAAAAGTCAAGAAAGTCCAAAGTAGTAGTGGCTCCCTCTGTCGTGTTGGCATACAATACTCCCTCCATGCCTGCAAGAAGCATCAGGGTAACGTTTGGTGAGTCAATATAGCGTTCTATTTCAATGCACGGAACCCCAACATTCGAGTGTCCGTAGTGCGGATTTGCTACGTCCGGCAATTTGAACCCTGCTTCATCAAAACACTTGATGCGGTAAGGATCCACGGTAGACAAATAAGTTAAAAAGTCTTGGCAATAGTCAATGTTTTCTTGCGAGAACTTGTTTGTTGGGCGGTTTGATGTTCTTTTCCATGACATTGGACCAGAAGGCATTCTTTTCCGCACTGCTCGACCGATGGCACTCTGAGATGTGTTTCCGAGAACATTGCAGTATTGGCCAACGGCATCGAGAACTTTGTTGTATGGCACAGATGGTGAAGATCTCTTTACAAATTCAATGAATTCTAATTCTGTAGGAGTCAAATAGGAAGGATTTTGCGAACCCTTTTTATCGCGGGGTCCAATTTCTCCATCTTGACAAAACCGCTCCCAAACATTCTTTACAGTTTGGCCACTAACGTTGTAGTTTCTTCCAATTTCAGAAAGATTTCCAGCAAAAAATCCAGAAACGTAATCTCCTCCTTGCCTCACTACAGAGTCGATGATATTACTTCTTATATCTTCACTTAATGCTTTCCCATTGGCAAAATTTCGGGCTTTCTTACTCAACAATTTTCGAAGCCGTCGGCTACAAGTCTAAGAGCGCGAAGATACAGTTTGTACATCACGTGATCACTCTCATGCCAGCGTCGCTGGCATCGGCTAATTTTATTCACAGTTCAAAGGACGACTGCAGAGACCAGTGTTATGATGGGGCAGGCAATATGGCAGGTCGCTTGAATGGAGTTTCAACATTGATAAGAAATGAATTTGACAAAGCAATTTATGTTCACTGTATGAAACACAGGCTGAATTTGTGTGYTGCTGACACATGCCAACAACCACTTGTTAGAAACATGATGGATACTGTTAAAAGAATTTCTGATTTTTTTAACAATTCACCAAAGAGACAGCAGTATTTGGTCATGAAGGTTAAAGAGACAATGCCTCAAGCTAATCATACTGTTCTGATAAATGTGTGCCGAACAAGATGGATCGAAAGAATAGAAGGAATGGACAGAGTTGTAGAACTTCTTCGTCCTGTTGTTGCTACGCTTGAAGACATATCAATGAACAACAATGATCTTGGAACTGGGGACTGGAATCGACCAAGTAGAAATGATGCACAGACCTTACTGAATGCAATAACTTTTTCATCTATTGTTGCTATTGTTATTGTTAGACAYATGTTAGATTTAACCCGACCTCTCACTGTCAAATTACAAAAGAAAGCAATGGATCTTCTCAAGGCAAAGGATGAACGTGCACTTTTAAAGTCAGTCTTAACAGAGATGAGAACTGACATTGATGCCAGGCACAATGCACTCTACAAGGAAGCTGTCACTTTAGCAGGTCAAGTTTCAGTTCAACCAACCATGCGTAGAGTAGCTCAGAGACAGGTTCATAGAGCCAATGCTGCAGCCCGAAACCCTGAAGGATATTATAGGACAAATTTAACTGTAGTTTTTCTAGACCATATAGTCCAACAACTGAACAACAGATTTCAAGATGATGTGTTTGTTTGCTACAGAGCACTTTCAGTTATTCCATCAATTATGCTGGCCACTGGTATTGTTTRKAAGGATAATGTATTAGCCTTTTGTGAACATTATAGGCAGGATATACCTAATAATGCAAGTTTACAAGCAGAACTTATTCTGTGGGACAGAATGTGGAAGAGGAAAGATGATCTAGGAGAGGAAATCCCTGATAGTTTAGAAGGGACACGAGCTCATTGACAATGTTGCTTATGCTAATATACATACCATACTTCAAATCCTTATAACTATCCCTATGTCATCTGCTTCTTGTGAAAGGTCCATTTTAACCCTCCGTAATCTTAAGAACTACTTAAGAAATACTATGGCCCAAGACAGAATGAATGGACTGGCACTGATGCATTCCCACAGAGACATGGACTTAGATCTTGAGGAAATAATAGACTTATTTGCTACTTTAAATCCTAGACAAATGAGAATGGAGAATATCTTACAGTAATATTTTATATAATATTTTTTTGACCACCAGTGTTCTTAGAGTACTTGTGAGTTATGTTCCATCTGGATTAATAGCTTCAATCTGATTTTTAATACTTAAATGGATGGGGAACAGTACAGGAACAAGGTGGAATTTTTAAAAACTTATTCTTTTCTGAAATCTATAATATTATTCACTGAGTTTTAATTAAGCTTCATCAATGAACTCATCTAGTGGAACACCTCAATCTAAATAAGGTAATGTATTCATTTTGTATAATTTGCTAGTACATGTCAATTCTAGTACACTGATATTGTGACTGTATGTTCTATATTTTTCATAAAGTATTCAATTTCCTGCCATGCCACTTTTCCTTTAATAGCATGTATTTTGCATTGTACTTTTACATACTAATACTTTTGGTAAGTCAAAGACCCAACTATAACACTAGATTTGCATCCAAGTTAAATTACTCAACTCCACAGGCAAGAACTAATTATGGGAAATTCAATGTAAGATTCTCTGGTGCTACAGTTTGGAACTCTCTTGCTGAAGATTTAAAGAAATCAAAAACAAAATCCTCTTCTGAAAAAAAAATTATTTTCAAATATTTTAGAATCTTACATTAGACAATAGACAAATATCTCATCAATATTTATAAATTTTTGATATTGTTTAAACTTCCATCTAGCTCTTTTTGTGCCTTTCTTGTTTTTTTCTCTATTTCTCTATTAGCCATTTTTGCGTGTCTATATAGTTTTTTTCCTTTTAGATTATAATTTTCATATGTATTTTTTTCCTACATATATATATATATATATGTATGTATGTATATATATATGTACATATGTATAACAACATAACAACAACGATACACTCAGCACAAACTATCTCTGCGAAATAGAAAATACGCTAACAGCACCGAACTTTCTAAATACATCTGGGACCTTAAA